AACAAGTAAGCAGGCAAGCAAGCAGGCAAGCAAGCAGGCAAGAAAGCAGGCAAGCAAGCAGGCAAGCAAGCAGGCAAGCAAGCAACAACCAACACAATTAACAAGCAAGCACAGAGAGAGAGAGAGAGACAAAAGACAGACAAACAAACTCACAGACACACGGGCACACAAACACGCAAACAAAAAACACACACACACAGAATGGCACACAAACAAACACCAACAAACAGTCACAAGCATACAAACGCACAATCACACAACCTCACCATGACTCACACAAGTACCACTTTACGTAGTCAATCTGATACAGCTAACAACCAGCGGATGATTCCGCATCATGCTTTGCCAAGAAACTATGAATGTACTACTTTTCTTGGCACCCCCGCATGACACCAGAATTCCCATGCATAGTTCTTGCCTGCTGCAGTCTGTTAATAAACAAACAACGAGTCATCCTGCTAAAGCATGCTGATGGCCAAAACCCTGCTCCGGTGGGGATGTGTGAAGCCTCATGTAAACTGGGATGACACACCCACCAACCTCCATTTGCTTCAATGGAACAACATATCTCTAGTAATGATACCCTCCCACCATTAACATGGAACATCACAGGGTGGGAAGACCATGTTCCTTTCACAGGGACATTTTGTCCAGTGTTCATTGGTGGAAGGGTACATTGCCTTTAAACCAAGAGGGGCATGTTTGTGTTAAACTGTACTTCCATTTGCTTAAGCTTTCTGGGAAAATAAAAATATATCCAATACTGGTAAACTCCCTTTAAAACCAACAAGGGATAATCAATAACAGATTCACTTCAACAAATGAAAGAATAGGGGCATCTTTGTGTTACATTATGTCAAGCCAATGGAAGGCCGGTGACAAGACTATGTCTGCCATGCGCGCCTGAGCTTGCATGGCGACGTGGCACTCCCATACACCTTGCCAGCGCGTGTGGTGCTGATCTTTCAGAGCAAACCAAGACCCAGTTGAGACATGAGTCTACAACTGTACAACGATACGTATATTTTCCACGGGGTGGGGGGGGGACCGGCCTGGAGACTGGAACAATATATATATATATATATAACAGTAGAAAAGCAGCTTCATGACTAGTACAGTAATAACAAAAACTACACATCCCAGATGTTTGCGGGAGTCGATTTTCTCTGGATAGGAGAGACGTAGGGCCGTAGGGGCCACTGGTACAGCACCCTAACCCCGCATCAATTCTCATTGAAACCTGTTCGCTGGTATGGGGGTCGATCTGGAGGTTGCCTCTCCCTTTAAAAAAAGACTAGGAGAATGCGGGTGTACCCTCTGGACCAAGGCCGCCCTGTAAATCTTTGGAGCTGCGCGAAGGCTCCGTCTTCCCGGCATGAATGTGTCTGGCCAAACCTCATGGGGCATGATGTGGCATGGTTCCCTGATCAGAAAAGCCGCCAAAATGAGGCTCGGATTGTTCCAGGAACCCCGAATTACTATGGTTGAGAAACGGGTTCAAACCCAAATCACTTGCCCAGAGGACCCAAAAGGTGAACCTGTTGAGACTTAAAATATGGGTCCCAACATGGAAAAGCCGCGCTTGGCCATAGGTCGATCCAAAAGTGAAGACATCCAAGGCTTGAGCCCCAGATGTTTCATCCATCCCTCCAACCCAACTCCGAAAGGAAACTCACCTAGGGGCCTGTCAAAACAAACCGCCAAAATGGAAATCTATACCCTCTGACTGGGTTCCATATTACATAGGGCCTAGCTGTGGGCAAGACAAAAATAAACCTATACGACAAGAAGCGCGCCTCAGCCTCTCCGGCGAGCCGATGCGCATAGAGTTGCACTGGCCCTCAGTCAAATCGATGGATGCGCCAAGTTGAATCCAAAACAAGACGTGGCCTCCCTTAGCCCCCCCGGTAAAGCAGAAACACCTCCGTCTGACTGTGATAACCCCAACGACACTCAAAAGAATGACCCCAGAAAAACCGGATCGGATCCGGCCGCCCAGGTATTCACATGACCTGCTGGACAAGCTTCAACTCTGGGCGGGAAGGCGGCACTTCTGAAAGAATGGTGGGAGGGTGGGCGGAAGCTTTCAGAAGCAAACCTTTTGACCAGAATGTTTAGCAAGCTCTGGTCAAAGCTTATTGAAACTTGAGGAATCCTGTTGTTGCCTCCCACCCTTTGGAGAGGATGTGAAACAGAACTATGCCTTCTTGTGTTCGGGATGGACTCGAAATGTCCTTGGATTCGATGGGATCCAACCCCTTCCTGCAGGGGTTCACCCTCTGAAATAAATCCTGCAACTGGGCCTGGGTCAAAATTAAACCACCAGGAAGCCGAAGGTTTTAGCCGCCGGTGAACATTGCTGGATATGCCCCGAACGAGACCTCCGTGTCACCTTTTTTTTCTGGAAAAGGGGGAGAGGTTGGGATGCTCCAGAGCAGACCTCCTAGTACCAAATGCGTTTCACTGACCCACCGCTGCTCAGGAAACCAGGCAGACTGGCTGGTTCGTGTGGGGATTTCGGGGTCCCTGGTTCTAGATGAACCCGCCCCAACGTCCAAATCCATCAATTCAAACCGCGGAAAAGAGCTTTCTCGCAGGTCGCTGGAGGTGTTGTCTGGCGTAAAAACCTCGGATGCGGGTCTCTGTTTTGTGGTACCCCTTTCTTTGGTGGCTTTTTAAGGGGAAGCCACGGTACCCCTTTCTTTGGTGGCTTTTTAAAGAAACGCAAAAAAAAAAGGGAAACCACCATATTGGGGAGTCCTAAGACAAATCCCTTGCATCCACCAGCTAGCTAAAACAACACACACACACACACACACCTGTTTCTTTAGGGGAAGCCATAAGGAAACCCACATAAAGCCACCATTTCGGGGCATCCCCTAAAAAGAAGACCCGCCCAAAAAACCATCCGGTCGAGCGCCTTCGGGCTCTGAGGCTACGGCCAGCTTGAGGGGCGACGCGAGGAAGGTCGGCTTGCCCTGGCAGGACAGGGGCCAACGGTGGACCGAGCGCGAAACCCGAAATTGGGCATTCCTTTTTTGTTTGGGGGGGGGGGGGGGTGTTTTTGTTTTGTTTTTGTTTTTCTTGGGCGGGAGGGTGGGCCACAAAAGTGCGTTCGGTTGTCCTGTTGGTTTCCCCAAAAAACCCACCAACAAAGGTTGATTTGTGAAGTGTGGTTCCGTCGGGTACCTACAAAACCAGGTAAATGGATCCACTGGGACATCTCGGCACCCCGTTTATAGCCATCCTATGGCTCTTGGATTTTTTTTGGGGGGGAACCAGAAAATGGCTCAACCGAGTTCTGGTTGGTTTCCCTTTAAACCCACCAAACAAATATTATATTCTGCAAAAGAAAGATGAGCCACACAAAAGGAAAATGCTTGCCCCTTGTACAGTCGTTAAGTGCCACTTGACCCAAAAGAATCGGAGAGGACTCTGACACCCCTTGTGACATCCCATGTTCAAGGGTTCGAGCGTCCAGGTACGTTGCTTCTCACGAAATAACACATATGGGTATGCGTCAAAATTAAACCACCAGAAAACCGCAGGTTTTGGTCCATGTTTCCACTTACTAGGGTTCCATTTGGGGGTTACCCTATTTTTGACTCACAGCCATATGTCACCATGAGCTATATGCTACTGGGACGTTCAACCAACTTGGCAAGGATTGAAGCTGCAAAGGTTTGGGTCTTCCGAGGTCTCCGGGAGGCGAGTTTTGACCACTCTCACAGCCTCAAAGACGGGGCTCTTGCGGATGGTAACGCGATGGGGCGGGTCCTGGCGACTGCAGAGAAGCCCACCGATTGGCATCTCCTTAGACCCCTGTAGGTGCAACGTTGATTCAAAAGGTAGCAAATAGACTTGAGTTGAAGCTGAAAGGCCAAACGTTTGCTGGGAAACCAATGCCCCCTCTTCACACAAGGGACGGAATTATCACACATCTGGGTTGCAATGACATGGGTTCATTTGGAGCGTAAGTAGTTTTTCCAGGGGTCCTTAAGCTATGAAGCGGAAAAACAAACAACCTTCAAAGGTTGCAATTTGCTGGTGATTTCCAGTGAAACTGCAACTCTTGGAGGGGCCAGAAAGGGAACTGGAGGAAACCATGCCCAAAGAGGGCTAGAACTTCCATTCGGGGTGGAAACCAATAGCCTTTGTGAGCTTGCAAGTTCATTTGCGACACATTGAACCAAGCTTGGGTGTTTGCAGTGCTTTAGCCCGGGCTCGTGACAGGGTCAAGCGCTAGAGGAACTTGGAGGCCAAGCCCATGCTCTCTAAATGATCGTACGGGACCACTTGGTCCGACGGTTATGACCGATGACTTTGCTGACAAATGTGGATGGGTTTCACTGGTCAACGGGGCATAAAACCTATTCAAACCAGTGCCATCCATTTCTAACAAACTCTAGCCTAAAAAGCACACCCATGGCAATGACGACTTGGTTGGGTGATGACTCGTGACGAGTCCACTATTCACGTAGCTTGGCCAAATCTCCGAGCTTCAGCACTCCACGTGCGGCGCATTGCCTTGGGCAAACGCCATGCTGCCGCGACAAACCGCCCGATGCAACGCGCGATCACCGCTGCGCCCGGTTTGGTCTTCGACCAACCCGGCGAACCATTAAAGTCTTTGCCCCGGGGCAAAGAGGAGTCATTATCAGGTTAAATGGTTACCCTTCCTCCCAGAAGCATATGATTTGTGGGAGGTACCTGGACAAACAAAGACAAACACATGTTCTCTAGGGGCCCTGTGTCAGATGCCACGGAGGGAGGGAGGGTTCGGTCAAACCAAAGAGCAAGAATACATCTCGCTGGCCTTCAGAGGCCTGCGATCTCGCGATCTTTGTACATGCGCCCGCGACTTGCGAGGTAAATGGTATCAAACACCCACAGCTTCAATAGGATCCAATAGTGAGGAGCATCCAAAGCAGCCAACCGCTGCTTCTACCCACCATGATACACACCACCGAAAGAATGCCAAGAACAAACGCCTCACCCACTCAGCTCTCCGCTTCTGTCGGCAGGGGCCCCGGCGCCGCCGCCGCCGCCGCGCTCGGCATTGGCATGGGCGCACTTGGCGGAATGGGCGCCTTGCGGCAGAAGACCTCGGCCGCGAAAAATCTGCGAAGCCCTGCTCAAAGTGTTCAACCCTTAGTGGTTCAATACGGAAAACCCCAATCATCAGTTGGATGAAAAAGTTCGAGTCCCGGAACACCCATCAGTTGGATGAAAAAGTTCAAGTCCCGGAAAACCCATCAGTTGGATGAAAAAGTTCAAGTCCCGGAAAACCCATCAGTTGGATGAAAAACTTCAAGTCCCAGAAAACCCATCACTTGGATGAAAAAGTTCAAGTCCCGGAAAACCCATCACTTGGATGAAAAAGTTCAAGTCCCGGAAAACCCATCAGTTGGATGAAAAAGTTCAAGTCCCGGAAAACCCATCAGTTGGATGAAAAAGTTCAAGTCCCGGAAAACCCATCAGTTGGATGAAAAAGTTCAAGTCCCAACATCATCAAAAGGCCAAGTGCGCCAAAGAGACGCTCTTGCCCCAGCTCTTGGCGTAGGCGTTCCCGAAGGCCACCACGTCCGAGCTGCCTCGCCAGAGGTGGGGCTCTGGAGCTCCCCGGTTCGCAAGGCTTCATGTCTTGTGGGGGAGAAGAAAAAAGACATGGGAAGAGGGTCGCTTTGGTTTCACCACCAACAAACTTAGCCTTTAATTCAAAATGGTGCACTCCAACAAGAACAGGAAAAGCACTCGACGAGATCTCTCTTTGGCCAAACGAGAGAAACAAGCGGAGAAAAAAAGGAGTGAGTCCCGTTGGCTTGGACACTCAGTTGCTCATCCGCACTTTCACCACATGGCTCCTCTTTTGGAAGGCCCCAAAAATCCGGAGGCAACAAAGAGGAAAACCAAGAGGAAACCCACCCCCAAAAGCGGGTGGTGAGCGTATTTTGAGACAACCGCAGCCAGTCTGGAAAAAATACGACTCCGGCATGTAGGCCACTCAGCCCGAAGAAATCCAAGGCGCACCTTGATCAGGAACCTTGCTGATCGGCAGGGAGTGAGGCATGAGGCATGACCCCAAACTGTATCTTTAGGTTGTGAGGGTTTCCCTACACTTAGTACTTCTGTTTGGGGATCCATCGGTGTCCCACACCTGATGCCTCACGAATCGAGAACCAGCCACAACACCCCGACCCCCCCCCCCCCCCGCCTTTTGGCTTGAACCACGGGTTCCCGGGTCTGTTCATGAAGTTCCTTCCCCGGTCGGCGGCCGCCGCGACTTGCCGGTCCTACGGCTCGCCCCGAGCCATGCAGGAAACCGAACCGCCTGGTTGCTTGTCTTGCTTGCTTGTCTTGTCTAGCCTTGTCTTGTCTTGTTTTGTCTTGCCTTGCTGGCTTGGTGTTTGTTCGTTCATTCTTGTGTTCGCAAATAGCTCTTAAAACAAACATCAGTACACTCCCATATTGGGTTGGCCAGGTTAACCGGGCTGACATATTTGCCCCTTAGACCAAAGTGGTTGTGATTATTTTCGGAAAGGAAATCCTGACTTGACGTTGTTTTGCCCTTGGAAAAACAAAAACATATCATCAAATAGTCATAGACTCCCTCTAAAGCCAACAGGGGAAATCAAAACATATTCTTAAGCAAATGAACATTAACTACCCTAGGAAATTGTGGCTTCCTTTTGGTCTGGTTGATGGCCGGATTGCCAAACGCGATTGTCACAAAGCATGCGGAACATATGGGCACATGGCATGTACACGGATGTGCAGGTTTACTACGGGTCCAAACGTTCAACCATGTTGCTTTTGTTGGACAACCTTTTTTGGGCGAGCAACACATATCCAAATCAGTTGAGTCAGAATCAACAACTGCAATTAGATTGGTCTACCCAAAACCATGTAAGGAGTTACAAACATGGCCGCATTTATTTAGGATTTGGACTATCCCGAACCAACCTTCATCTAAGCGCGTTTCGATTGTGGCGCAGTTTCGTTAAGTTTACTGCCTTCTTGCGCCAGGTGGGCGGGTGAAGTTTACAACTATGGGCTCGTCTTCTGAGGGAAACCAAACAAAACCATTCGCGCGACGAAGTAGGTTATATTTACCCACATTCACCATTTCTCCAGATGGGCCACCTGTCGATACATAAATGCATGTGTACACACATACATATATATATATATATATATATTTCGGTCCATATATTGCCTACATCGCTTGTGTGCGATTGGTGTCCTTTTGGTGGCCAATTGAACTTACCGCCCGGAAAGGGCACCCAAAAGACACACTCGCCCTTTTCAGGCGGATGATTTCCAAAACTGGCGTCCAAATTGGTGCCGGTGTCTTTTGGGGAAGTTCGACCGGAACTAGTTAACTAGTTAACTAGTCAGTCGCTTCGTTGGTTGATCCTTTGACCGTTCAAAGTCTAAAGCCTCTTGGCCTGGGAATTTCCGAACAGTTTGCTCCACAAATTACAATGTGCATCGGGCATTTCTTCAAAACAAATCAGCCAAGGGAAATCAACGAACAGCACCTGTTTGTTGTCAATGGAACCTCTCCGGGCTTCAGCAAGATCGCTGACAAAAGGAGCACTGGGTCTCTAGGATTCTGGATGGGGTGCTTCTTTAGCCAAGCACAAAAGACATGGAATTTAACAAATCATGACACCCGGACAATAAGAGAACATGGGAAATCAACAGCATTAAACATCCGCACAAGGTCGCCGAAATCATTGTCCATATTGGGCCTCTGGACTTGCACCAGAATTCGCTTCGGCTTTCTTGACACAAGACACCAGGGAGACACCATCCACTCGTTCTTGGCCGGGTTTCAAGCTGCACCAGGCAGCATGTTGGGGGAATTTGTCCTCTGGTTTTCCTGGTAGAAAAAAGAGGGGGCTTCAGTGCTTTTTGTTTACAGACCCCGGTTGTTTGCTAACCCCGGTTGCACTTCCAACATAGGTTCTCAAAAGCAGGAACCACGCAGGTGGTCAGGGCACCCCTGAAACAGCTTGCCGGTGCTCAGAACTGAATGTGGGAACGAACCCAGGGATTTCCTAAAAGGAAAAGACAAGGGATCGTTCATAGGGGTCATTCCATTTCTCATTCCCTGCACCAAGTAAAACAACAACAACACACAATCCATTGGCTTCCCACACGCCGCGTGTGGCTTCAGCCGAGTCTCCTCCCTGGCGCTGGGTCTGGGCACAACAGCGAATGCCTCGCCGCCCCAAGCGTCCTGACGGACGCTTCAGCCAGCTGGGGAGCATCTGCCACGCATTTAGTCTGCGGGGGCGAAGTCTTCTCAGGTTCACAGCAACTTGGCTGAAAGCTGGCGACTGAACGTCAACCCGAGGAACAAAAAGGTTTTGGAGGAGACACCAATGCAGCGCACACATTCAGCCGTCGATCTGCGCATTCAGCTTCTCCAAGGCGGATCTCTGGACCACCAACCAACGGGAAGCAAACCAAAACCTCCGCCGAATTCAGAGAAAAAAAACCAAGCCACCGAAACGCGGAGAACACATATATGAGGTGATGTGTGTTTCCGAAATAGTCAGGAACCAATGTGTTCACTAGTCATCAGGAATAACCCAAAAACCTGTTCAAATCGCCGTGTCCGACACAAGTCATCTAGGAGCCTGAGTTGGATTCTGCCAACAGGACCTTTGATTTCTTTTACTGGCCCTGCTCTAACCCGCTGTGAAACCAGGTAGGCATTTGAACCCAAGGGCATCCAGACATGACTCCGGCCACCAGAACCTCCAAACACGCAACCACTTCTGGACCCATATATGTCTCGGCAAATGCGGGCAAGGAACATGCAGTCCATTGAAATTGCATATTCAAAGTGCGGACAACCCAGTTGTTGTGGACTGCCATAAGATTCCCTTGACGCAACCTCGCAAAATCAATTGAGGTATCCTCCCTTGGCAGTTGGGTAGGCCAAACATCATATCTTCTCATCTGTCAAAAAAAGGTTCCTCCAAGAATGTCGTGCATTTTCTGAGATCCCAGCGGGGTGTTGCAGAAGCCTAATTGAGGTAACTCCCTTGGCTCGACCTACTCATACTTGCTTACGACTTGTCATAGTAGTTTGTCCACATCAACTTAAGAATATGGCGTCCAAATTCTCGGAGGTCCCAGGCTGTGTGACGTTTCGCCTTCCAGGATGCCAATTGGTTTTCGCTCGCCGTCCGTGTCGGGTCCTCCGGGTCTAAGTGCTCGGCGCGGTGGAACCCCGCGCACGCCGCCGGCGCGAAGACTTTGCCCAAGCGCGACAGCGGCGGGAGGCGAGTGGCCGCCGGGGTCGGCGCGCTGGTCGCCGGCGCCTGTTTTTTTTTTCCCCGTCTGGAAATGGATCTCAAGGGAGATGAGGTCACCAGGTGAAATGGATCGGGACATGATGCATTGCTTGCTGATGGGAATCATCCAATGGACTGGGGCGCAGTCTGAAAATGGATTTTAAGGGAGATGAGGTCACCAGGTGTTGAATCCGGAAATGGATCGGAAGGGACATGAGGTCACACGGTGTTGAATCCGGACCTGGTCTTCAAGGGACATGAGGGAATCGTCCAGTGGACCTCAACAAGATTCCAGAAGTTGATCTCAGTTCATATCCCCAAGCCCCGACAGCTATGTCTTGTTCCTTCTGTGGGAAATAAGACTTACCCCACGTGATGCAGCCTTACATGTAAGGATGCCCTCAGTCACTGAATGAGTGGACCCGAGATGTAGGGTGCTCTCAAAATGGTCTGGTAAAATTTTAAGTATGGGACAACAACCATGAAAGAACCGTTTGAGGCCTTGTCCAACAGAATACCACAACCAAAAGGTCACTTGGTACCTTTACAGGCATGCAGCTCTGCCATGTCATCTTCCATTCAACTCACTTGGATCTTCCAAAACCCGCCAATTTGCGAAATGCCACATTCCTAATTCGCCATCCAAAGCCTACGTCCTTATTCCTTGTGGGACACGCGAATTCGCCGGTTTTCGCATGGACACCCAAGGAATACGTTTGTTGCAATGTTGTTGGCCATTCCGGGTGGAAAACGGAAACAGAACCCTGTTGCCCATTCATGAGGCAGCCCAGCTTGACAAACACCAGTGCACAGGCAGCAATTCAACAAATCGCGAATACTTTCAGCAGACTCTCCTGTTGAAACCACCCAACCAAGAGTGAATCATAGGATGTTAGACCAACCACGATGATGACCTTTTGGGATACCAAAGTGTTTTATTCCTACGACTAGTTTATCAATGCAGGCGGCTCGATACCACCTCCCCTGCACAATCATCGTCTTCCAAGCAAGGGAGTTTGTCAACCCAGTGTATGTCTGGGAATGGGGCCTGGAAAGTGGAAAACAGGAATCGAAGACCATTCTGGCCATGTCGTATAGGGGACCTGAGCCTGAACCCGAAAAGGGAAATCTAGGGCACTCCCAAAATGACGGACCCCAAAATGCGCGCGGGCTTGCCGTTAAAACCAGTCCCCGAACAGGTGCCACCAAAAAGTCCCGGCCCATTGCTGTGGGGATCTGGACATTTTTGGGTCGACGCAACTGCCTCGCCTGGGGGTTCGGCGCAGCCATCTTTAGGCGCCTCTAGGGACCGAGGATCAGAATCGATGCGATCGAAGGTACCCCGAAATCAAAAGTGGTACGTGGGGCCATCCAGGGTACCCCCAACGCCTTGCTGTTGTTTGGCTTAGTGGGAAATACGCCCGTGGGTATGAAGGACCTTAGAAAGCAGGGCCGCCAAAAGTAGGTAGCCCCGTGTGTTCCCATTGAGAAGTATGGGCCAACTGAAGGTGTCGCGTGTCGGGATCGCTGCGGGAAAGCCAAACCCAGCAAAACCAGCTGCCCAGTTTGGACCCAGAAAGAAAAGGTGATCACCTTTTGGAGTGACAACAAATGGTTGCCAAGCAGGAGGGAAGGGCTGAATGGTGAGATCCAATCAATTCGCTTTGGGCAAGTAAGCAGCAAACAATCAAAGGAAAACCAAAGCAAACTAGGGAAACCCCGCACAATCAAGGGAACACTGAGAAAACCACAGGACATGCAGCATAATCAACGAAAAACCAAAGAAAACCAAGGGAAACCAAAAGAACATGATCAAATACACCCAATCTGAGACAAATTTCTGCCGTGAGACGCGAATCGCCCGCTCGCCTCCGTTCCCTCCGCTTCTGCTTCTGTTCCTCCCAGTTCTCCTGCAACACCTGCCACCGCGCTTGCACCTCCAGGGGTGCTTTGGGCTCAACATGTGGGTCACTTCCCAAGTGGCTTCTCGAAAGAAAAACAAAAAAAGTCGAAACTTTTTGTTGTGTGGGCCACTTCTCCAGTGGCGCGAAAAATAATAATAAACTTAAGCTTTTCGTTGGCAACTAAAATGGTCCTCCCCAAAGTAAGTCCAAAAACTTGCAAACTCGGGTAAGGGAAGCCAAACGGAAAACCACAACTTGGAGGAGGGATCCTCTAAGAAATGGCTTAGGTGGGGAATGTCCACCAATACGCTTCTGAGGTGTCTTATTTGAGTTCGTATCCGTGTGGGTATGTGTTGACTGTGAAAAAAACTCGCTTCGCACCAGTTAGGTGGTTGATCAACCAGTTTCAGAGTAATCCATCCCAACTGGCGGGTTTTGTCTACTACACGACAAAGGACACTAACATTTTTTGGGGGGTACCCTTATTTTCAGATACACCCACACGGAGCAACCAACCCCACCGGCCTCCGCTTGGACCACCTGCCGGCGGTTCTTGGGCGTCGGAACTTGTGGCACTGGAGGTGGCAGAGCTGGTATGGACGGAACCTGCGCGGTCTCGCTCCGCACGTCCTGCGCGGGGCCATGACGTAGGGAGCCCACCAAATTAGTGGTTTCCCATTGCTTTCCATTCTGAACACCACAGAAAATGGAAAAACAGATGTTCTGCAAATCAGGGTGCTATCCCCGATTAAACCCTTCTTTGCTTATTCATGGGCTCCAGGAATAGGGCCCCCTTGCTCATCGCACATGCGCACCGCTCCCAGTTCCAAACCCCAGCCCAGCGGAACCCTTGCGCGGAATGATTTGCTTGCGGCGAACCCGCCAAAACAGAAAAGGATCTAGCAGAATCCACTCAGCTCAGCTCTAATGATGACCCTCCCACAAAGAAAGAAACAAGAAAGTGAAAAGCCCGTCCTGGCGCATGCCCGTCCACTTGGAGATGAGGTCCTGGGCTGTTCAAGGAGCTGAGAAGCTTCGGTGAACCTCGCAGTTGGGGTTGCATAGGAAGACAGACTGAAGACTACCATGACTACCAAAATCTAGGGGACTCGCTCAGTGTCCCATGTCGTACTATTTGAGAGAGAGTTGCCAGGTGATATCCTCAACCCAGGGAACCTCCCGAAAAGAACCCCAGCGCAAATCCGCACTGAGGAGCCCTATGTTAGAGACCCAAAGCTCCCAGCTGTTGAGGAATCCCATGGGTCTCCCCGCGCGAACTATACATTCACCAACCAAAAATAAGAGATCCCTGTGAAAGACCCCTTGCCACCCCCCCCCTTCCCCCCAAGACCGACACCCGTGACATCCTCCTTCAAGGCCGCTCGAGGGGACTGCACCACTGCCGGCAGCAGCGGCTGGTGGGCGAGGCCGGCCACCTTCGCCGGCTGGGCGTCCCCGTGCATCCAGCCGATGCCCAGGCGCGGGGAGAGGCCGCTCATGGTGCTGCGCTCTTCGTAGGGTAGGCCTGGCGCGCGCGAGTGGCGAGTTGGGAAGGAACTGGTGTGGGGGTGGAGGTGGGGGTGGGATGGTGTCTGAGGTGGTGTCTGGGGGTGGTGTCTGGGGGTGGTGTCCGGGGGGTGGTGTCTGGGGGTGGTGTGTGTTGCGTGTGCTTGGGAGTTGGATGTGTTCATACCTTGACCCGAAGTGGAGAATCCCAAAAACACCTCCGGGGCAAGGTGCCATTGTTGAAGGTAGAGCCCAGGTGGCCAGTGGGAAGGCACTTTTTTGTTGAGCCCGTCTTCCTGTTTGACCCCCGCCGTCCCCCAACATTTACCAAGCTCCTTCAATGGCTATACTTCCGCACAAATTGTTGGTCGGGTGGGACATGCACTTGTGTTTTGCCCTAAAAGGCGAAAGGGCAAATATCAGTAAAAAGAAAAACAAAACAAGACGCTGTTTGCCCAAAAGCAAGTCCCTAGCCCTCTCACGCGAAATCCATGAGGGACTGTTGGAGTCCCCGCTGCGGCCAAGAATGATCGGACAAAACGGGGTCCTCCCAATGTAGCATAAACCCCAGGCCATCCCCAGGCCTCATATGGGTGGCTCGCCTTGTTTTGACACATTTGAGGGTGCCCCCCCCCCCCCATTTTTGTGGTTTTAGAGGGAACCAAAACCATTTCGGGACCCGGTCCTCAAACACAGATACATCTTACCTAGTTTACTAGAATCTAACACCAATTGACAGAGGACCTTCATGGGGTCAATATCGGCTGCCTGGAGCTTGGCCTGTTAGTTTCGCTTCCCTTTTTTCAAGGTGTTTTTGAGTTGGAACCCCAACAAATGGTTGGTTTTGAAAGGAAGCCAGAAGGAACACCCACGCCATTTTTGGGAGTCCCCAAAAAACAGACACGCCCTCAAGCTGCATTGAATGTTCATGTTTGTGTGGGGATAAACAGCTGGCGATGTCGAAAAATAAATACCACATCCTAAGTGGCCTTCAGCTCAAGAAGTCTGATGGACAAAGAACCCGCCGGACAAGACCCGCTTCGCACCTGTTGGGATAGATGAAACCCCGTTGGGACACATAACCTACGCGTGTTAAGTCAGTCACTCCGCACGCACGTAAAGCCGGAATTTTCGCATGGGGACGGGTCCCACATTAGCGTAAAGTCACTACGTCCGCTCAACGGCAAATGCCATGGGTCCACCGTAGCAGGCTCAAGTTGCTCCAAGATCAGCCCATATTGCGATTGGTCCACTACAAATCTTAGCATGGAACCCGAGAAGCGATCCCAAAAGGCGGGTGCTCTAAACCTGGGCAGGCTTACGGGCTCCATGTGTATCTGCAGAGGAGCATGTGCAAAAAGAAGAAGAAACGGATCGCTAGGAAAGACACCTTGACGATGCAACCCCAACATACATGATTGGCTTTGCGGTTTCCCTGTGAACCAACCAAAAGCAGGGTGTCCAAACCGTTTCCCTTTTTGGGGCCTCTAAAAGTGTGGCTCTTTCAAGGGACACCACCAGTAAATGATCAACTTTTGGAGGGGACGTCCCTTCTGACCCCTGAAGAAGGCGCAACAATCCCAGGTCGCACCCAAACCCCCCCCTCCAGAGCCCTACCTGGGCCGTTGGCCTTGGCCAGCCATCCCACCTGGCCAGAAGGTCTGAGGGATATTCGCGGGTTTGACCGCTGAAATGCCAATCCGGAAACGGAAGGACAACCGCTCGCGGAAGACACAGGGCCTGTGTGCCCTGAAATTGCAGGGCAGCTGCTGCAATAGCAACCTCCAAAAATGACAAAAGCTCTGCAGTAATGAGGTGCAAGTCTGAACAACGCTGGGTACATAGTGCTGAAATCGGCAGAGCATGCTCGAAAAATCAAGATGCCATCCTTCAGGGTTTACACCCCAGAAAAAAATGACATAACACCCTGAAATGAGATAGTAAGACTCCGACGCAAGGTAAACTGCTCAACGACACGACATGGAAAAAGGAGGCCCCAAGAGTCACCGCGAGTTCGCCTAGTTTCTACGGATGCGTCAAGTGGATGAGTTGTGTTCTGATTTCCGCAGCTGACTTTGCAGGCAACTAGGATTCTGACAAATCCATCTCGGCCACAAAGGCCAAACAAATCCAACTTGCAAAAACAATGAAAAAACCTCAAAAAATGATTAAAACAAATCCACTAGCAAACAAATCCACTAGCACCAAAACCTCAACACACAAATCCACTAGCAAACACGAAAAACAGCTCAGCAAAACCTCAACCCCTCCGTCCTCTTTGGATTAGCCTCATGGCTCCCAGCCCCCGAAATTGAGCCCATGTCCGAGCGATCCTTCTGACCGAAATGCTTCGAATCGGTACCTTTGGTTTGATGTGCCGTGGGTTGCCTCAAAAAAAACAGAAGAAAGGAAAAGAAAAGCGGGGGAAAAACAAAAAACACGGAGGAAAAAAAAGAAGAAAACAACACACACACACAAAAAAAAAAAAAACAGGAAGAACAAAAACACATTCCGAGAGTTGGTGACACATGGGAAGTTGGTGTACTCCAACTCCCGGGTCCAAAAGGGTCCTCGCATTGTGAGAAACATCCCAACGGGTTGCTGTGCGGTTGTAACTACACTGGCCTCGTGCGGCTTCCCGAAACCAACACATCGGTCTGGAACTGTCTGAAAATCGAAGCCAACCAAAAGCCGCCTAAAACTCTCAGCCGGACGATTCGCTGCTTGAACCGGCGAAGAGGACTCCAAAGCACCTGCAAGTGGGCCCCAAATATGGAAAAACACCCGTTCCCATTTGCGTTTTCGCTCCCTGGGACACATTCAACCAATATGTCCACTGGCGATAAATTCCCTTTTTACGGCCAACAAGAGAAAATAACCTAAATGGGGGTTGATGACCCTTCAAAAAGATTGCTTTCACCGCTAAATTGTGAAAATTATGACCCCCGTCTTTGGGGGCCTTGAATGGAATATTGATCCACCCCCAAATCTTCATTTCAGCCAAATGGCTGTCACTCAAAAAAAAATCCGGAATGCCAACATGGGTTGCCCTGGTAAGTGGAAACCAAGGCCCAAACCTGCGGTTTCCCCCTCCTGTTTAGTTGTGAGCCACACCCAAATGCTCATTTTGCTCATTTGCAGCCTGTCATGGCTCTTTCGCCGTAGGCAACTGGACCTGCTAAAGTGACAGAAAAGGGCGTCACTCCAAAAAGCCACAAACTCATGCAGAAACACCCAAATGGCCAAAATAAAATAAATAAATAAAAACAACGCAAAGCCCAGCGCCTGGTGTTGCTCCGTCTCCGGCCACAGAAGCTGCTCCGCCGGGACTCGGTGCTTGGCGGCCTCAGCATCCGAGCCCAGAGATCCGAGGCGTCACCTCCAGTTGCAAGCCACTAGGTAACCAACCAGGTAGTCTAAGGTTGACTTCATGGTTACATAGTTGGAGGCATAAAAGGTATAGAGGTAACCTCTAGGCTTTATATCATGGTTTGCCTAAGGCCCGTGGTTACCTACTATACTGGCAACTGGAAGTACTGGGCTACTCAACCAATCCCAGGGTTCAACCCCCACAAGAATGGCAAGGACCCTATTTTGATGACAATTCTGAGGTCAACAATAGTGAGGTACAAAGCTAAAGGGATGGCTGGGAGCCACCATGATAGATATATTTACCGCCATGACCTTTTAATGGTGGTTTAAACCCCAGGGCAATGGAAAAGCGCTTGCTCTTTGCTTTGCATTGCAAAAAACAAAGCAAAACAACGAACTCCCGATGGGATTTGGAATTTAGGGCGCAAGGGGCCCGTCGTTTCTCTCTGTGAAATCTAAGTCCATCACTTAGACTTGGGCGGCCTATTCATAATTTGATCGACTTTCCATCCCTTGGTATGGTAGTCAACAAAAACTTGTCTAACAAACAAACACAAAAAACACATGCCCAAAAAAGCCAGAGCACCTAAAAGCATGCCCCAAGAAAAAAACCTGAACACCTAAACAAAAAACATAAGACCATTTTTTGGGGAACTGAAAAAAGCTGGGAAGATGTCCGAGGCTGGGAACCGTATGAAACAAAAACCAACAGCGAAGCTAGGTCCAGTAGAGAGGATAGAATAAGTTGGTACCAACTTTTTTCTGTGGTCTTTTTTAGTAGGGTTTCCCCCCCAACCAAAGAAGTTGGAAAAAAAGTTGGCACCAAGCTGGGCCCAAGACGTGAGCCACTGCTTCCCCTTCCTTCGCCTTTCGATCGATCCGAGGCCAAGGGCCACGTCTGCCCGCAGCAGCCGCTCCGTGACGGAGTCCAGGCCTCGCGGGCTTGCGCTTCCAGGTCCGGTGGGTGCGGGCGGCTTGCCCTCCCACCATGCTGTGGGGGGGTGGGGTGGGGGGGGGGGGGCCAGGATTTTTTTTGGGGGGGTCAACTAACATGGAACTAAGATGGGACCGTGGTGCCCAGAAGCAATCGGGGGATTGAACTTGGGGATTAGCCTCGCCTCTACCAGCAATTAACGTGGAAGCTGACGTTCGGGGCCCGGCTCCTTTAACAGGAAAATGGTCCAATCCAGGACCTGAATGTCAGGTTCCACGTTAATTGGTGGGAGGGTGACACCACTGGGCGGCTGGCAGCGGGGTTGGTGGTAGCCGTTTTGTCTCCGTGATTTACTTCCAGTTGCTTTGTCGCCCCCTGGGAAAAACAAATACACATTCCGGCGGTGATCCATTCCCTTTGAACCCAACGAGGGACACATATTCATTTCAGCAAGTGGAAGTTCAAGGGGACACCAAAGGAGATCGCCGCTTTGTGGGTGCTTCCCCATGCTGAACCTAGCAGGTTCGAGTAGAAAAGCAAGCTGGACGCCCTAGTCAACCCTTGTGGGCTATGTTATGGGTTCCCATGGCAAGAGCTAAAACCAGTGGGGGCGTTTTCTAAACCCTTTGGCTCTTGACGCCAACGTTCGCACCATGAATCATGACCCGGGCTTCGAACCCATTCCACCCAAACCCATGGCAAAACCCCCAAAAGGACGGCCATATGAGTGTGATCTATCGACAGGCAGTGGGCCTTGGACAGGCCCTTGGTCATGAGGATTGATCTGACCAGGCTTGAAGCGGCCCGGTACCTCGGCAAGCCGCTAGTCGAAGATTCCGACTATGGGCACAGCTGGTGCATCTGCGGCGTCAAAATGAGCCCTTGGTAATTATCCACTTCGAGAGACGGCAGAAGGGTGCTGACCACACCCCCAGTAAGGAATCCGCAGAAAGTACTACAAGGTGCCAGCGCTAGCTGAAAAGCACCGTGAGGCATCCTGATGCGTTTGATTGATTTTGGGTTGACATCACTGGAGCCTGCCCAATGAGAGGGTCTGGAAAAGCGGGGTGAGCCCTTGCCCATCTGCGAATCTTCGATACCAACAAAAACACCCGTGACTGCTTTATCCTATTTTAAAATTTCACGAGGGTGCCGTTGGTATCACAAACTCACCTAAAACACCATGGTCCGCATGCAAACTCATGCCGGGAATCTCCAAATTGAAAGGCTAACGTAAGCAGGCCATCTGCGGATGAGCGATATATTCACTCTGCACCAGCTGAGATGGAAACAAACCATGCCCCTCAACTGGTTCCTGGGGTGAACTCCAGGCATAAACACATCCCCCGAAAACGCGTGGTCCCAGTGGTTTTTGGAGGGAACCTTTCTTGTCAGCTTCCTGCTAATGGTGTGGATTGGTGGTTTAGTGGTTGGGGGGTGGTTCACCTTTAGCCTCCCAACCAACAAAAATGTCTGAACTTTTTGTTTACCACTAAAATGGTCGTCCCAAGAAGTTTAATGTTAACCCCGGAATAATAACCCATGGTGGATTAATACGGGGGTGTCCCCTGTTAGTGGGGATTCAGACCACTTTTGGAGGGAACACCCCCGACGGGTTTATTCATCCTGGGTCAACATTAAAGAAAACTCGCTTCCTGAGTGGGTGGCCCAAAAAAGTTGTCCGCACTTCTTGTTTCCCACTAAAATGGTCCAAACCCAAAACGTTTCAAGTCCAGGACCTCGGGGAGTGAGGACCAACCCACCAGGGGCTCCCCACGTCCAAGATCCTCAACGCGCTGCGTACCGAGAAGTCCGCCTTGTCGCTGGGCCGGAAGTGGGCCCGCTCCTGGCACCCAAACGAAACACGGGCAAATAACTTGGTTGACGTTGGAAGGGGAGCAAAAAAAACTATTTCAGCAGTTCAGTGGGGATTTCCCAAAAATGAACTTTAGCAGTTCCGTGGCTGGATTTCAACCACTAAACCACAATAAGCGAAAATGTAAAATGTTTCAAAGGTTTCCCAACAACCATGAACATGGCACCGATTTGTCTCGCTTATGGACTGCGAGTGGCCAACAAAAAGGGGCCAAATGGTTTGCTTGCTCTAAGAACAATGGTCCAAACGCAACTAAAAGAGCATATTCAAGTCCAGCAACTCAGGAAGTGAGCTTTCAGTCACGACAACTTGATTTGGACCGGTTTAGTGGTGGTTGAGACAACATTAAAAAACGGCCGTTAGTGGGAGGGGGCAGGGTAGACTGTATGGGCGGGAAAATAAGCATTTCTGTGATACATAAGTGTGCGTTGCTCATCCCCTTTTCTGTGATACTGCAGCACTTGACTATTGTAGTAAGCACTTTCAGGGGATTTATTGGTATCACTTCTGCACTTTAAAGAGATTCCTTTGGTTTCACAGAGAGTGATCTTGACACCGTATTTCTCACAATTCTGCTTGACTGCAGCAACCCTGCTTGTGGCTGACCATCTTTAGTGCAAAACCCAGACAAAAGTGCGCAATTTGCACCTGCATTCCCAAGTGAACGCCTCCAAACATAAGCAAACAAAAAGAATCCGCGCGGCCGTGGGAACAACGGTGTGCCCAAGTGCGCGGAGTTTGGCCCTAATCCTTCTGGAAGTCTTAGCGGCAAAGCCGCAACCGTGCGCACCAAACCATTGGCCGCATTGAAACGCCCATGGACTTACCCACAGTTGAAACTCCCAGCTTGATCCTTTGGCACATCGCTTTGCAGAGCTCTGGCGCGTGACGTCTGCGTGAACGCAACCGTGACTTTCCGTGGTTCTCATCGATGCCCTCACACGTCCAAGTCTGGGGGCTGGATCCAGGCCCTGACAATTTGCAAGAGGTTCCATGCAGCAAGATGTTCAACGGCCTTGGGCCCAAGCCAGATATGTTTGTTGTATTGGCTTCCAGAAAGTCCAAACCTCAGAAACGGCCTCATGGAAAATCAGACTTGCCTTTTGCACTTTTGGAGGACAGTGGAGCCACCTTCAAAAAGGGCTCTGTTCACTTATGGCTTGCAGAAGGTCTCCCCATTTCCCACGGAGTGGATCAATTCCTTGTACCAAGGTAACACCAGTGCTATCATTCAACAAATACTGAGCAACAATCAGCTAGCATACCCAACAAATAGGCACGGTTGGCACACATTCGAGCAGGCAAGAATTAAACAGACATGCGCAAACTGATGATTACTCTCCTGCAGAGTAACATGGACCCCCGCCCCACACACAAAAATACAAAAAATGAAAAGAAGAAGAACCTGGGGGCCTGGTTTTGGGTTCCTTCCGTTAATTTGCCTTGGAGCACTCACCACCAAACTGACCGCGCCCCGTCCTTGGCAATGCGCTGCCGCCACAGATATTGCCCCTTGCTGCTGGTGATGTTGTTCGGGTTGTCGTCAACCATCGCATCGATTCTAATCGCGAGCGAAATGCCCGCGGATTGATCCAGGATGCACTGCGAAGCAAGCACGAATCAAAGGCAAAGCGGCTTTTCCGGCCCAAGCCAAAGGGCAAAAATCTGCAAACAATTGGTGGGTGTCGTTTCGGCGGTCCTAACCAATCCCAAAACGTGCCATCCTCAAGAACAAACAACAAGTGTCTCCGAACCCGGCAGCTTGGGGCCACCGGATAATTGTCTGCCTTCAGAGGAGCTCCAATGCTTCGGGATGGGCCATGCTTTTTTGGACTACCGCTTTTTCTGTGATACCAAAGTGGTTCTTCCCCTATTTGAGTAAAGTGTCAGAATGAAACAAGCTCATGCTTCCCATATGAAAGAGGCAATTACGACTACTGTATACCAAGGTGATTGTTCCCATCCTAATGACTGTGTTCGCACTTAACTTTGAGGGTGCCCCATTCGCGAATCATCCTTATGACTATGTTGTAGCTTAACCGATAGCATACCTTTTGGCTCTCTGTGAACATGCGGAAGCCTTTGGACGCAGTACTGGGTGCTGTCACTTGATTTTGAGGATGCCCCACTAGCCACGCACGGAACCTGGCAACCTGCAACCCAAAAGCTCCACAGCCATGGTCGTGAACACCGTGAGTTTGGCCTTCCCGGTCTGTGCCTTGACCTCAACTTGGAATCTGGATAATTATAGATTTCGCCTTCTGCGTTTTCGTCCCCCGAAAAAAATAATCAGTTAGTGATGATATATTCCCATTAAAACCAACAGGGGCAGTCTCAAAATGGGGGGACCCCGCTTTTGGCTGGTTTGACTCGACTCCAAAGGAAGACCAACCAGTTTACGAGGTCAATGATTGAGAACACCCATATGGGTGTGTCTGAACTGAGGGCAGCCCTTTGTTGTTTGTGTTTCTGTTAAAAGAGACGCCGCAAGGAAAACCACCATTTTGGGAACACACCCAAAGGCACATGTACGTCACGGTCCTGGTGTCCACGCTTCTGGCTCCTGACATGAGACTCAGCTCGTGTGCCACCGCCGTGGTTCCTGGAATGGGAATCTTATCAATTTGTTGTCTAACTTCCCCACTCAAGGGCTAAAAACTCGAGCGTGCGCGCGTGTGTGCGCGTGTGCGCGCGCGTGCGCGCGTGTGCGCAGGTGAGCGCGCGCGCGTGCGCGTGCGCGTGAGCGTGCGCGTGCGCGCGTGCGCGTGAGAGTGGCGCGCGTGCGTGCGCGTGAGAGTGGCGCGTGCGCGTAAGCGTGCGCGTGGGCGTGGGCGTGTGCGTGTGGGTGTGGGTGTGGGTGTGGGTGTGTGTTTTGGTGTGTGTTTTTGCGTGTGTGTGGGTGCGTGCGTGCGTGCGTGTGTGCGTGCGTGCGTGCGTGCGTGGGTGTGGGTGGGTGTGTGTGGGTGTGTGTGGGTGTGTGTGGGTGTGTGGGTGTGTGTGGGTGTGTGTGGGTGTGTGTGTGTGTGTGGGTGCGTGCGTGCGTGCGTACGTGCGTGCGTGTGTGTGGGCGAGTGGGTGGGTGTGAGTGGGTGTGGGTGGGTGTGGGTGGGTGTGTGTGTGTGTGTGTGTGGGTGTGTGTGTGTGTGAGTGTGTGTGGGTGTGTGTGGGTGTGGGTGGGTGTGTGTGGGTGTGTGTGGGTGTGGGTGTGTGGGTGTCTGGGTGTGTAGGTGTGTGGGTGTGTGGGTGTGTGTGTGTGTGGGTGTGTGGGTGTGTGGGTGGGTGGTTGGGTGGGTGGGTGGGTGGGTGGGCGGGTGGGCGCGCGCGCGCACGGGCGTGCGTGCGTGCGTGCGTGCGTGGGTGGGTGGGTGGGTGGGTGGGTGTGCGTGGCGTGGCGTGGCGTGGCGTGGCGTGGCGTGTTGTGTTGTGTTGTGTTGTGTTGGGTTGTGGTGTGGTGTGCTGTGCTGTGCTGTTGTGTGCTGTGCTGTTGTGTTGTGTTGTGTTGTGTTGTGTTGTGTTGTGTTGTGTTGTGTTGTGTTGTGTTGTGTTGTGTTGTGTTGTGTTGTGTTGTGTTGTGTTGTGTTGTGTTGTGTTGTGTTGTGTTGTGTTGTGTGTGTATGTTTTTGTTTTTTGCGATGGTTTTTCACCAGAAGCGAGCCAGGGTCCGCCCTGCGCATTGATTCTCGTCGTTGCAGCTCCTGGTCCTGGCTAGCTGAGTGTCTTGGTGTGGATATCCCCGCCAAAAGGGGGAGGAGGGGTCGGGGGGTCCGGGACCCAATGCCATTGATCTCGTCTTCCCCTAGGGAAAATGGAACCATGAATGTAATTCCAGGGGGTCCCCCCCCCCTCCCCCCGCCTCCCCCAAATCCCTATTTGAGGCGGTGGGGGTGCTTTTTGTACATGAAGGCCTTGCCCCGCTTCCTTATCAACATGTGCCCATTCTATGTGATACCAATGAGTCATAATAGAAGCCATGACTACTTCACCTTGAAGAGCAGTCCCCAGGCGTGGCACAGAACGTGGCCCTACGCTCCGAATCATGTTCCACGACCATGGCCGTGGAAGAACCTGGCCATCAACATGGGCGGACCTCCTAAGAGGGGAGGGGGGAGTGGTTTGGAGACTACTTTCCTTTTGGGGAAGCCCCAAAACTTCCACTTCCATTCCTTCTATTTGCTCAAGGCCCCTGAAAAAACATGTCAGTGCCAGATTCCCTTTCAAATCAAAGGGACACATTCATTTCAGCAACTGGAAGATAGGAAAACAAGCATTAGACGCAAATTTGATGACAGACCCAACTGCGAAGGCTGCGGCGGATTCTTTCTTTCCCCGGTGGATCTTTGCCACTCGCCGCCCGGCCGCCCGAGGCTGGCTGTGAGGCGGTTCGCTGCGTCAGACCAAGGGGCAGCGGTCCTCACGCGGGCCCAGATCTGCGGGCATGCAGGTGCCTTGGCTCAAAGCCATGGTCAACACGAAGGCTTCCTGAGTGCATACGCCCAAAAAAGGTAACCAAACGTTTGATGTGCCCTCCCACCAACTAACATGGAACCTGACTTTCAGGGGGGTCCTGGTTTGAACCATTGTCCTTTTAAAGGGACCGGGACCCTGTCAGGTTCCATGTTGCTTGGTGGGAGGGTACCACTAAACATCGCGCCTTCCCCAAAAAACATGTTTAATGTTTTTTTTTCTTTTTTCAAGTCCAGGAACTCGGAAAGTGAATTGAAACCATCTTGGAGAAACCGAGAGGTGAGAAAACTCAGGACTGATGAAAACTCAAGTGGCCATGGGTCAGAAGCCCGTAAGCTCAGTGAACATCCCAACCCCCACTAAAATCCACTAAAATGGGTGGTGCACCTACCCCAAAATGGGATCCCATTGGTTTTGACCCACAGCCAAGTGAGAGAACATCTTCTTGTTGCCAAGTTGCCCCAGCCGGAGCCCTGCACGTGGCCCGAGCAGGTGGGCCGCTGCTTGCGGCAAATGGTCCAGGGCAGTTCGATGGTCCCGCCCTGGTCGCAGCAGATGGGGTCCCCCTTCTGCTGCCCGAAGTGGCCTGAGCACTTGAAGGCCTCCTGACGAACATGCGCGACATGAAACCAAGGAAAGAAGACGGGCCCTGAAAACAGCATGCTCCACCAAAAAAGGGAAAAGGGGGAAAACAACGGGGAGAGCGGGGAAGAGAGATATTTTTTTATATGATTCGCCCAAACAAACCAAGGCAAGTTGTGGTTCTTTGTTTGGTTGTTTGCTTGCTTGCTTGTTTGTTTAGGGGATAGGAGAGGAGGGGGAAGTTATGGGTTCCAGAAAAATACTCTGGGGAAGGCGTGCAGTTTCAAGCCTTATTCCCCGATTCTTCAACATCTCCAAGCACCAAGGAGGCGAAACAAGCAAACCGTCCATTTGCTTCAGCCACCTAGAAAAAAAAAAGTCCAGTAGTGATAGATTTCCTTTAAAACCAACAGGGGGAAAATCACATCTATTCTTTAGCAAAGTGAAGAACCGTGGAACTTGGAGGGCTCTTTTGTTGCGTATGAGCAGGTCTCACATGAGGGTTCCCAACTTCGATTGCGAGCTGTGAACATCAGCCCCACTCAAAGGAAACAAACTTGCCTGACACTGGCAAAAAGGTCAGAGGGTGAAACTAACTAGCATAGCTCCCATGTTTTCTTCCTACCCTGTTCTTACCAAGCAAGTGTGCCATCTACTTTCACCCCCGTGAAGCTCAAAACCACCAACAAGGTGAACTTGAGGAACCCGAATCAGCGGGAGCAGGGTAGAGGGATTGGCCAAGATCATGTCCGGAGAATCTCCTGAGGGAACTGAAATCGAAAATCAGCGCAATGGGGGGCAGCACATCGTAAGCAGAACCAGTCGCCTGTCGGCCCTGGAAATGGGTGAAGTCTCCAACATCTGAACTCCCAAAAGAAAGGCAGGCTGAGTGTCCACCACGGGGGGAGAAGCAAAGTCTTATCAACAAAAGGGAAGCGCCCCCCCACGAATTTCTTCCCATTCTTAACAACACCAAGGAAAAAGCGGGGTGACAACTTGCTTCATCCTTCTCAAGGTCAGGTGGCAGATTCACAGCAACGCTCTAGGGGACACTTCCAGATCCATTCTTTCCAGGGATCCGAGTCTTTTCAGAAAACCATCAGAATTTTAGGGGAAGCAGCGATCGGTTTTTGAAAAGAACGATGTTTGAAAAGAGTGGAAAAGGAATCAACCCCTAGAAGCACGAGAATTCTTTGGGAGGGCTTTGATTCGAAGCGCTAACATCGGCTCCTTGTCGAAGTCTGCGAACATCGGCTTCCACGCTCTCTCCAAGAAGTGGCCAGCTTCCTTGGGTGCTGTAGATCCCAGCAAAAAAAAGGCTTTTTGCTGGTTCAAAGGAACTAGGAGGGGAATCCCAAAAAGTTATCGTCTAAAGATCCAACTTTCAATAGCAGTAGAGCTTCTGCCACCCCCTCGGTCTTCTTGTCAGTGCATCGGAGGATTTCCATCAGCAGCTTCTCGTACATGGACTTGGGATACTGACGAATCCGCTCCCTGGATACCGCGAAGATGGGGTTGTAGAGCACCCCGGTGAGCCTGGCTTTCTCCAGGGGCACGTCCACAAACTCCTGGACCGGGCTTGGGCAATACCCTCCCAACATGGAACCTGACGTTCGGGGGGGTCCTGGAAGACAAGTTTCCTTTTAAAAGGGTCGGGACCCTGGCAGGTTGCCCCTTCTTGGATGGTGTTAAACCAAAAGGAACACCGAAGCCATTTTGGTGGGTCCCCTCGAAAAGAGAGAGACACACCCATGAAACTATTTTTCCCTTTCAGCCACCTGCCCCCTACTAATAGCTTTGAGTGCTGAACCGGAGGAACAAGAGACGTCCTTGAACCACTTGTCCAGTGGATGGATACTGGCCCTGCAGGACGCGATGTTCTGGCCACCCGCATGGTTCCGATACGACGTCAGCTGGAAGTAGCCTTCAAACTCCTTGGATGTTCGAGGAAAACCCGTAGGATTTCGAATTCTAATCCTTAGTTCCTGAGTTGATGGGCCAAAAAAAGTTCAAACTTTCTGTTTACCACTAAAATGGTCTTCCCAAAAAGTTTAAAGTCCAGGAACTCAGGGAGTGAGAATCTGAAGTTCCAGGATTACTTCAGGTTCTTCGCGAGGAAAACCCGGAGGAACTTCAGGATGCTAATCTGAAACCCGGGGGATTTCCGAAGTTCGAGCCCTGCTTATTTAAGGGAAACCTCCCAAACAAGCTCAAGGCATGAAGTTTGAGCAGCTTTGAATGGATGCATTGGATGACGCTGAAGGGAATTCCATACACCAGGAAAGCAAGAAACATGTTTTCCAGGGTCCCTTCTTTCCAAAACACATTTGGTGCCCTGACTTCTCTGAGGACCAACAAGGCAATACCCAAAAGGTTGGATCCGGTCGGTTTTCGCAGAACTGAGACCAAGAGTCCATGAAGGAATCCGGCGCCTGGTGTGCCATGGTCGCAAAACCTGAGAACTGCTTCCGCCTCTCGGGGGTGTCCAGTTGGCTAAGCACAAAGTTCAACTTCCGACCTCCAGCGTCTCCGGGCCACGAATAAAACTTCCATTTGCTTAAAGCCCCCGGGAAACAATAAACATATTTCCAGTAGTGATAGATTCCCTCTAAACCCAACAAGTAAGCAAATGGAAGAAAACATTCCCAAAAGCAAACCAAACTACACAGGAACCGGTTGGGAAGAAAAAATGGTCCAGGCACCTCCGTGCAGGATCTACGCTTATTTTTGACCTGGAGGGTGAATTAGTTTTGGGAGGGTAAATTAAATCCATCAAACATGGAACCCGAACATGGAACCTGAGCGAGGCCTCGTTCAGGTTCCATGTGCATATTATGTGTTTTCTTGACGGTTTGTCAATCATTGGCTAAAGATTGGTCATTGCATGGGATATGCATAACTCCCTAACTCTGAAAGTCTAAAAGTCTAAGGGAATGACTGGGAACCGCCAAGAAATGCTGCGAAAACAATGTGTCCTTTCCTATGTTGGCTTCCATGTAGCGGGAACAAATGCACAAAGAAAACTGCGCAGTCTAGCACCAAGCGACACTTGAGCCATCTCCAGTCGCTGGTGTAAATGCCTCACTTGCGTCTTGATCTTGTTGTTTGGTGCCAAAGACCAACTGAGTGCTAGGCAGGGCGTCTGGAAAAAAACGCACAACCACCCATCCCCTTTTGGAATCCTGTTTAGACATCAACAGCTATGGGCTATTTGGGTCTGCCTCAAAATAAGTGGTGTCCTTTTGGTGTCACGGCCTCAAAATGGGTACTCTCAAAAAAAAAAAACAGACACACCCAGGTAGAATCCACTCAACAACAACAAATCGGTGAAATCATTTATAGGGGTCATTCCACTTCTCATTCCCTGCCGAGCAAAGGAAACACAAAGCAAGCGAGTGAGGCAAGCCGAAGGCAAGTCGAAGGTGCTGCCCAATGTGAAGATCGTGATTGGTGCAAGCTGGTCGTAGAAGTGGACAATGTGCGTCAAGTAGGCGTACTCCTGAAAACCAGGGTGGCTATGAGTTTCATCCATTTGCTTTTGTCACACGGGAAAAAAACTATTTCCAGTAGTGATAGATTCCCTTTAAAGCCAACAGGGAGAAATAAAACATACTCAGTTCAGCAAATGGAACGTTTAATCCGAAATCAAAGCATGCAAGCGATTGGCCAAGCACTTTAAAAACACCAAGCTTGAAAAAACAACGGTTGTGTTCATAGGTGTCCTGTTGGACGAATAGATGGCCATGGTAGATGCTTCAACCAGTAGGGTCACCAGTGCCCGGGTATTGCAACCAAACTAACCAACTAGGACACCTACGGTTTTGCTCATATTGTCAACTCTTTACAGCCGTCCTTCTTTCCAACCATCCGGCCGTACTGTATGGGGATTTTCTGGAACGGATCATTGGAAGGAACGAGGAGGTCGACCTCGAGGATTCAAGAACTACGCCACGCGCGCACTGGGGACATGAGCCCACCTTCAAATCCAAGTAACTGGCGTCACCAAAGTATGGAGCATGTAAGGGGTATACACGGTCCCTCAAACAACCCAAACAAATAGGGAATCACCTCAAGCTTATCAGCCCAGGTATGCATTTGGGTAGCTCTTCCTGCTAAACAGCACCTTGCAAAAAGGCAACTCACCTTGATTTGACCCCTTTGAGCGATGGTTGAAAACCACCAAAACGAGGAGTATGGGGTACATTGCTGGTAGCCGCCAAGAAACAAAAACAACCATTCCAGGCTTGAAAGTTCAAACATTGCGTCTTGGCCATTCTCCATCAATCCAGTCCCTCCGTTCTAAACTTGAACATCTTCCACCCTTGCTGATAAATGACATCCTGAACCTCTATATACAGTTTGTTTTCATTCATAGGGTGGCATCCATCTTTTCGTTGGTCCCCATCGGCTTGCAAGTCGTGATCCCATCCGCTGCCCAACTCCCCGTCCTCCCCGCCGAAGTTATCAATGCGCAGGCACCGCGGATCCTGGCCGAATGGATTCGACGTGCTGGCGGTTGCCCTAGCATCCTCAAGCTCCTATGGATTGGGACATCCGCATTTTGTTTGGTGTAGCAAACCAACCCTAGGTCATACCCTAAATCCGACTCAACTCAACTCTACAGGCCTACACTCACAGTGGACCTCCGTATTTCTTAGAGAAGGAAAAAGACCCGCTGAAGGAGCAAAAGGTCAAAGTGTTCCCCACCATGGAAACGACCAACCGATTCCCATCTCCATGACTAGTTCATCACATCAAGCGGAAGGAGTTGGGTAAAGAAAGCCCTGCCCAAAATAAGAAAACAAAGAACAAACGTAACAAAACAACAACAAAACGGGCAAACAAGCGGGAACAACCCACACCAAAGGGAACAACAAACGGACGAAAGCCAGAAGCAAACTGGTGGACAACCCTAACACCAAACAAACAAGAAAAACAAAGCACGCCCCTAGCAAAAAAAGCAAAAGGAACCCCTTCCATGGCCCACCCGAGCGTGGAACACCTCACGCTTTCGCTTTCCTTCGCCTTCAAAAGCGCTCCTGCCCAGGCCCACAGGGCAAAAAGCCACCAACCAGAAAAGCAAGGCCAACACTAAACAAACTACCAAAAGCAACCCAAAGAAACAAGGAACAAGCCCTTCCCTTGGAGATTCAACACTTTCATCACACTTCCCCCCCGATTTTGCTCTTCCAGCACTCACCCCTGACAACTCGCAGATCCGGCTCGGGTCTTCCCCACGGCTCGGGTCTTCGGCGTCTGAGTCGGAGGCCCCCCGCTCCTGCAGCTTGGGCCCTTTGCAGTAGAGACGCAGCTCGAAGCCGGGGACCACTCGCGACATCAGGGGCTCCACCCAGCTGAGGTTCTCGCTAAAGGCGGCCACCACCAGGTCCACCTCGAAAGGCTCTTCCGACGCACAAAATGGCTTTTGGGTGTGGTGTTGTTGCTGGGTTGGTTTGGATTCAATTTAGGGGGAGCTGAAGAATCAACAACTATAAGCATCCCCTTTTCCATCCCTTTTGAATTGGTGGTTTGGTTTGGTGGATTGGAGGCGAAGTCGGGTCTGAAAAACAAACACGACACAAAAATAACTACCCTCTCAGCTGTTCAGAACAACTCCCCAGCCTCTTTTGCATCCCTTTTGAATTGGTGGTTTGGTTTGTTGGTTTGGTTTGGTGGAGTTTAGGAAGTCGAAAGGAAACCAAGCCCTGTTTGGTCATGAGAGCGGAAATATCAGAACCCAAGGGCAGTTAAACAAAACAAGTATGTGTCTGTGTGTCCTTGGTTTGCGTTCAGGGCTACTTGCTTATCTGAGATAAGAGCTTCAGGGTATCTAGAGCCTCACACTACCCTTAAAAATTGGACCTCACCCCCATAATTTTCAGACAATGCGTTTTTGGGGGGTCGTTCCTTGGGTGAAAACCAAGGGTTTCCGAGGGAAACCCAAAGGAACTCCACCCACTTCAGGGAGCCTCAAACTTGCGGCATGACCACGAAACGAACAGCAAACGCCAGAGGCAGAACAAACAACCGCAACTTTCCGCATGACCACGCAACTAGCATACAGCGCCAAAAATCGGGAAAAAAAAACAAAAAAAAAAAAACAGCTCCACCGCCTCGTGGTTGCTGGACCTTGGTCGCAGATCGTACTGCCGAAGCCTGGGCATCGTGGTGGTGAAGCTCCCGGTGGATGTGGTGCCCTTCGCTTCAGGCAGATCGATGGGATCGATCGCTTCTCCAGTTGTTCGAGTCACCTCAGGTACAGCCAACTAGCCCAAGCTCATAAATATATATATATATATATTCGGATAGACCTAGTCGTTGATATTGGGGCTCCGTCTGGTGTCACTCATGGAAACCAAAGGCCCCACGGCTAGATAGAAAGATTGAAAAGAAACCCCGAGCACAGGACATTTACGGGCCAACTCGCCTGAACCCCAACTAGTCAAAAAAATGTTGTAATACGCCCAGACAAGCCAGCAGGGCTAGAGTGAGTCACCCGAAAACAAGGTGGAATTGCTTTTGGGACGCCGCTTAGACCATCCTCAAAGTGAGTTTGTTTTTGGGAGGGAACCTTGGAACCTTCATTTAGACTCCCTTCTTGGGTTTGATGCATGGTGGGAAATTGTGGCTTCAGGTTGCTTCCTGTCATACCAAGGAGCTTTCAGAAAAAGACACAAACAAGGGCAGTTCTCCGGCAATCCGCTCCCCCTTTTAATAAATGGACCCTACTAATAAATACTATGGTTTTCCAAACTGGCTGAAACAGCCGGGTCCTCATTCAATACTACTTTTAGAATAGCCCGATTCAAAACCAAAACTAAACTGTCCAATGTCTCCGCCCAGACCAGCCCCAGCCTTATTAGGGGACTCCTTGCACAAACCCAATGCCAAATTCCAAATGCATACTTACCTCTTACTAATTGACATTCATTTATTGAATTGGAATTCTAAGTTCAAACTGCAGCCCTTTTCTCTTGAACCGCAAAAATGAAAGAAAACAACCTTGAACGGTTGTATTTTAATCCGCTACTCGGAAAATTGCGGTTTTGAGGTGTTTCGTGTCCGGGAAGGGGGCAGGGAGCCCATTTGGACGAGGACCACAGAGGAAATCCGGTCGACCCCAAAGAACCCTATTAATAAATATGTTTTGTCCCCGTGACAGTACTTATTGTTTGGGGGGGTCCGCGTTTATTCTGGATTGTCACAACAGGGGCATTGCCGACAGCCTGGGAGGCTGTCAAAAGTCTGGATCTGAATCCGCTAATGTGGCACCTGCGGCACCAAGGTCTAGGGGGCAAATCTTTTTGAACGCCCCCCTTGGTGGGTTCCCTTCGACAAAACCCTCGTAGAGCCTGGAGACCCCAAAATGGGGCTCCTTGTTCAACGAATGTCACCTGAGGGTAGGTTTTAAACCAGTTCTTTGAGTTCTCCAGGAGAACACGTGTGTTGAAGCCTTCTTGGGGGAACCGACAAAATGGGTGGCTCGTCTTTGTTGAGGGGTCCCTTCTTGCTGTGGTTTTACAGGAATAGCAAAAGGAACACCACCCCCAAAAACCGACAACCCTGATCCCTGCCTCATACTGTGCCTGTCCTGCGTACTTCTCGCCAGCAATGCCGGCACACAAACACGCCAGGGTGAAGATACTCGCACAGCACCAAACGTAGCGACCTCGCCGGTCGCCGGCAAGGCGCTTCGTTGCTTGCCCGTGCCACCTTTTGGGTAATCTTTAGCCTGGATTCACAAACCTGTCCGATTCTTAGGGGGTTTCCTCCAAAAGCGGCCTGAAACCGCACTAAAGGGGGACGCCCCCACCTCTGAAAATCAATCAACCAGGGGGGTTGATTCACTGCACCAGCCCAAAAGCATGTCGGGTCTTTGTAGGTGTCTGTGGACTGTTGGGGTTGTTCCAAACAGGAACCAACAAAAGCCACCCTTGGAACTCCTGCATGAGACCCAGCCTTGTGTTGTTGCCTACCAAGAGCAGGTGCCTTTCTTTCCATGTCATGGCGGTTTCCCCACGAAAAGTGGTGATTCAGACTTGTTGTTCTGTTGAGGAGGCTTGCCTTGCAAGATCAACCTCTACAACCCACTATTGTTCTTGGCTGGAATTAGGACCCCAGCATTCTTGTTTGCCTGGTTGGTGGAAACAAAGGGGACCCCACAAAAGCAAAACACATCAAAAAGGTAGTTATTGGGGAAGTGTTGACCCTGGATTAAGCCTCTTTCCGCCAGGTGCACTTATAAGTGGTTGTAAAAGGATTGGGGGGGGGGTCACCTATTGCTACATGCCGGTATACCCATTTGGCTCTCAAAGGGGCAGGATGTTGCCAGCGTCAACATCGCCTGAAATGGCAACCGGTCCTCTCCTCATGCAAACTATCGTCGGTTCAATCAGCTTCTGTTTCAACCGCATCCGCCGCAGCAAAAGAGAATCCCCGCAATCTTCATGAGATAGCCTGCCTGGCTTCATCCTTCTTGGTGATCTTGTCTCCTTCCCCAGTCAACAAAGGGAAGCCCCAATGAGGTCATCTTCGATGGGCAGATCATTTTGGGGATGGCTTCTTAAGGCTTTCAGCTTGAGGTCTTTGATCTGGGGTCTTCGTCTGTGTCAAAATGAACCGCCAAACAACCCCCCCCGTTGGTTTCATTTTAACCCACTTGACAAGGCTACCCAGAAACACACCCATTTGAGTCACCAGCGAAAACCGATCGGTTATCAAAATGGCCTACCCAGAACCATGCTTCAAGAATTCTTGTTGGGACCGGCCCTTACCTTCATCTAGACCGAATCCAAAGGTGGCCTTTGGGACAAATAGATGGCCCTGGTAAATGGAATAAACCCCATCTAAACCAGGGCCCTCTATTCTTTTAAGCCAACCAACCAAAGAGGACACCTATGCCCGAATCTAGACCGGCCCTTGCTAACCTTACCTTAGAACCACATGTAAAGAATTCTGGTTGGGACCATGTTGGGACCGGCCCTTGCCTTCTACCGGACTCGGGTTTTTTGCTGGCGACTCATCTCCCCAATCACAGCCCAGGAGCTATCCCAGGCTGGCGCGGCGCCCCGACGCCTGGCGAAGGAGGGGGAAGGAACCACGAAGGACGGCACGTTGGGCGCGGCTCAAAATTAAGCCGGAGGGGCAAACCGCAGGTTTTGGCCCGTCTTTCCACTGACCAAAGTTCCATTTTGGGTACCGGCTTTTTGCGCCACAGCCATATTGCTCTTTCTCGTTTTCCTGGTAAAGCTTCATTTATTAATGTCAAGAGGCTTCGTCTTTGCAAACGAGTACAGACCTTTATCGCGAATTGCAGTTTTAAACGCTATTTGCGTTGTGTCTAGAGGGTCAATCTCGCCTTCAGCTCAAGGCCACTCTACGACCTTAGATGAAACCCGCCTACTTTTGCGGCGTCTTCTGGTTCGGGCGAGGCGTTAACAATGTCCGGCATAATTATAACCAACCCAAGAAGGGATCCAGTGAGTGGCGTGAAATTGGGGACCCCCCGATGACTTGTGGGGTGCTTTGAAGCATCATTTGCAAGGGGTCCTTAGGTGAAGATTAAAAAAAATGGTATGTTCTGTTCCGGATTCGTTCTTTCCTAACTTGAGGCTCAAACATCACGCCTAGTCCAGTATCACAAAATGACAGTACATCAACAAAGCGCACGGCAAAATGCTATTCATGACCGCTCTTCGGCAACTTTTGCTGTGTCTTTCAATGGAAGCGACAGAACACCCAAATTACATCCAAAACAACCTGCCTGTTTTACACACCTCCCAATATCCCCCCCCCCTCCGGCAACAGTAGAAACGGTATGTATGACCAGACCTCATAGGGGTGTTAATTTTCATTGGTGACACTCTCCACAACATGTTTGCGGCGGGTATTTGTGTCAACTGTTTGGAAGCGCAATGTTTCATGGGCGCCGAGTTCCCAGACTTGTGAAATTCGAAGGGAACTAACAATTGGCACTCTTCTTCTGGGTTGGCTTCGAAGGGTTTTACCCCTCCAACAACAAACAAAAGTTGACCTGAACCATGTTCTGCCCCCGCAAACATATTGAAAGCTGAATTCAAAGGGTTTACCTTCGGGGCGTTACCAAACATGTTAGTTACTCTGATCTCCTTTTTTGTTGTCCCCTCATTTCTCCCTTTTTTCTTAACCCGTTTGCCCGTTTTCTCCACAAAAACCTTCTGAACCAAGGGCCCGTTGGCCCGCGTTCCACGTCTCTCCGGCTCCAGCCTTGGCATGGCATCGCCATGGCAAGCCGAGAGAAGCCTGGCCCTTCTGAGCCCAGCAGCGCGAACTGGGCTGAAACCCAAATCCCCGGCTACAAGATGCTACAAGTGACTCATAAGTTGAATACGGACCCTCACTGAACCAACCAAAAAACCTGAATCCTCAGGAACCCAAAGTGACCCACTTGTAGGAAGGTAAATGGAAAACCCTCCACTGAAACAACCAGAACACCTAAAACTTGAGGAACCGGATGGCTGGGAACCACCAAGCAACATGGTTGGTGTCTCTTTAAATGGCAAGCCAAGTTAAAGAGGGTTCCACCACAACATAATAACAATAATAAATAAACATCAAAAGGGGGGCTTAAAGGCAACAGGCCCCACAAGCGGCGAATTTGTGTTTCACGCTGCAGGCAGGACATTCGGACATAGCTACCTCCAGGCAAAGAGGGAGGGACCTTCCCGACTTCCGTTCACTGAGGTGTGAAAGGAGCCAATCATCTCTCCCCGATTTCTAGGCATGCTGTTAGAATTCTCAAAAGAAACGAAAAGGCAAATAAAAGCGAATCGTATCCTCAAGAGCCCCAGAACCAGCTGGAACCTCAGTAACCCTCCCCCATACCTGCCCGTATCGCCGATGTAGGCCTATCGACCCCCCAAACGCTTCCAGCTGTTGGGGAGGAAAGAAAAAAGAGCCAGTGGGCGAGCATCGGGGCTCCCTATATGTCCCCTTTAAACATCACCAAAAAAAGGGGTAAAGCGTTTTGGTTCAGTTTTACCAGTGGATAAAATCCGCTCCAGGCACTCGGGATGGATGAAGCACTATGAAACACCTGGCCAACCGGCGCGAAGCGGATTTCCTCCGGGGGCCGGGGATCGGCCCGAGCCAAGATGTACCATCTGATCGGTCTGATATGCTGCCATTCGCAAAGCGCCTATATCTCTATTTTTGGCCCAGACAAACTTCTTTTTCAAGGGCACTGCTTAAGTTCGGTATCCGCTTTTTGGAGGCTACAATACCCTTTCTAGCTTGGTCTTAAAGGGAAACGAAAGGAACCCCGCCAATTCGAGGCTTCCCTAGATTGCGACACATGCCCAGATTATCTCCTCATAGCCGCCAGCCGGTCGAAGACCTTCTCATAGGCCTTAAGCTTCCATCAGGAAACCCTGGGAGGCCCGGGCTGAGTTGAGCCTGAGATCAGTGTCCCAGGTCCCAAACTTCCTTGGACATGTGAGCCCTTCCTCAACATGTCCAGCCAGAACCTCAGTTGTTCTATGAGGCATCTGCCACAAATGGAATCAGAGTTTGAGTCACCCAAAGTACGGAAGGATGAGTTGTGAAACTGCGCCTACCGCGGATGGACAAAAACCACTTCGCACCACTGAAATGGACGGACCCCTACCTGCGAATAATAGAGCAAATCACCTGTCAGCCAGTCAACTGGCGCAGGATTTCGTTCATCAACAGTACCACCCAAAACACACCAATCTCAGGTTAGGTCGTTTTTAGTCTTCCCCAAGTGGACGTGTTTTTCGGAGCTGAATGCGGGGTTGTCAACATGAGCTCCTTTTGGATGGTTTTCAAACGGAAACGAACCTCCTTGGTGGCTCACTGCGATCCCCTTAGCTTCTTGGCTTTTTAGTTGGTTCAGTATTTAACCCACTAAAAGTTAGTCACTTTTAGCAGGGAATCTGAGCGCAGCCAAGAACAGGAAAAGCTGCCCAGTGGATGGGATGATGGGCTCCCTATTTTCTTGAAAAAGAAACCCTGAGTTTCATGGGCACGATTCCTAGCAACCTGTTCCTCATCGACGGGGTTCTCAAGGGGTTTTCCCAGGGTTTTGAGTGGTTTTCTGAAAAGACTCAGATTTAGAGGTTCTACAAGGAAACCAGATGTCGGATTTGAGCGGCTGAGATCGCAGCGGATTTGGTCTCTGCATAGTCCGGCCTTAGACCGAACGGTTGAAGCCTCTGCGGGTCTGGGCAGATTGAAATACTCTCAGCCCAAAGGACCTGGACAAAGGCTAACCCTTCGGGTAGATATGGACCACACATGGAAAACCAAAACGACGAACTAGGTGGTCCAGATTTGAGGGGTTAGAAGAAGGGTACCGTTTCTTTTTTCTGTAGTCTGTTTTAGTACACCCTCCCCAAAAAAAGTGTAAAAGGGCACTCACTCCTGGGGGAACTATAGCTAAAAGGTCGGCCTTGAATTGAGTATTCCTAAGCTGGACACAAGGCAGGCCCCAAGTTTTGAGGGTCGTCACAGGGCTGTCCAAGGGAATTCGCTGGGTGTGCAACCCAAAGCCCCGTTTTTGTTCTCTGTCCAGAACCCCTGGGAAACCAAGACATACCAAGACGATTTGACTTTCTCAAGGTTGGAATTTCGACCCCCAAAATCTTGGAAGTGTCGCTGTTCTTTTGGTTTTCCTTGCAAACAACCGGACAAAGGGTGCCCTCAAAAAACTCCACATTTGCTGAAAAGTGACATGAGTTCGCATCTGGAAGGGTCGGTGTCCTTTGAAGCGCATCCACAACTCGCCCGAAGGCGTTCAGGTTCTATGAAATATGTTTTTCAGGCAGGGCCCTATCAGTAATGTGGAGTTGAAGTTCTATTTGAGTGTGTCGTTCTTTTTGGGGGCGGAAGCCAAAAGAAACCAATCATCTTAGCAGACTCCTGGTTTGTCGACACCCATTTCCTCAGGGTCACCATGAATGGTCATTCATCGCACGGCGCGCGCAAACATGATCCTTCCTGGACACTTTCGGTGGGTTTGGCTTCGTTGTTGGCGCTGCCTGAAACTGCCTGAAACTTCCTGAAATCCAAGCATCACCAGCCAGCTCACAAGTCAGCATCTCCAGCACTACCCGCATCAAAACATTCAGGGGATCCCCTGCAACAGGCTAGAAATAAACTAAAAATACACACACATATTAAATTGGGTTCCGACGAGCGTGATAGATTGCGCGAAAACTGCTCTCCAAATATTAACTCTTGGACCTTCCCCCCCTTCTCTCTCTCCCCCCGCTCAACTAGTCATGTTTTACTTCAAGTGACCTCGCCCAAAAAACAACGGACGCCTGCGCATCACACTTGCGGCCCTTTTCAGTGGCGGCTCTTCTGAGGACTCACTCACTTCCTCGTCCTCACGCCGCGCACTGCTCTTGGCGAGCATCTCAAACTGCCACGCCAGCCTGCGAAAACTCGCGCGCGCAAAGTCGCGGATTGGACAGCCCAAGTTGGCGTTGCTGGGACCCAAGTTGCCAACAAAAGGTTTCCCCGAAAAGGTACTGGCTTGCCACATCTTGAAGCGCTCACACATGACAAGGCATGAATTCTTTGTGAATGGAACAATCTATCACTCTACAATACAATTAGTTCTTGTTGAAGCTCCTCGTCAAGTCAGAAGCCGCGCATCACCGGCTCTCACTTGCAGTGATGGTAGAAATTAAGTGGAACCTTTTTGCAGAGATGATTCCAATTTAGTGAGCCCGAACCCACCAAACAAGTGGGGGATTGACCCCGGCTATGGCACAAGTTCGCTTCCCCTCCCCCCCCCCCCGCAGGCTTGGCCTCACCAAGTACCCCTAACATCACCTGATCCTCCAAATTTGTTGCCGTGACTTGAAGCATGGCCAACATGTACCTGGACCCTCAAATTATCCTTAAGCATAGTCTAGTGAAACATTGTGCAACACGGCTGCATTATGAACGTGCGAAAAGACACCCAGAAACAGGACCCTGGCAGATTGCCAAGCACTCCCTCAATTGACAAGGATCCAGTGGGCCTCAAATTGGCCCAACGTCTCTTGGACCTTCCCAGGTCGTTTTTCCTGGTCCAGGTGATCCTTACGCGTCCACTTTTTGCCTCCCCCAAGGTAGACTTCAATTGAACCCATGGTCGATTGAGCCCAGCGGTTTCTCAGTTCAGGTGATCACCTTCTTTGGGGCCATGACAAAAGGACCAAAAGGGGGAAACCCAAAAAGTCAAAACGTCGATTCGCTTTGGGAGTCCGCCCTCAACGGTTGAGGGAAACCAAATCGAGCTCCAAACCTCCAATTGGGCGTGGTTCCTTGTTTTGCGGAAGGAAGCCTTTCTTTGGGGTTGGTCGAAAGGTAAACGTGGCAAACCAGAAGGAAAACCGAAGCCATGTTGGGCGTCCCCCGAAGCCATTTTGGGAATCAACCCCCCTGAAAAAAAAAAAAAAACAATTCGAGGCAAGCTGAAAAGTCGGGCGCACTCCGTCCGCGCGTTTGGTTCGCGCAGCCCGGCCTGGGGTTCGGGGCCAAGCCGTCGCCCCCGGCTTCGTAGAGCCTCGCCAGAGCTGAGAGGATCTCGTGCTCCGCAAAGTGGCCCCCCGGCAGACGCTCGGCCTCCCTCTCCTCCTGAACGACACCCTCTCTCCAAACCCCCAGACGAGAAACTACCATGGCGATTTTGCATTTGCTGGGGTTCCCCGGATAAAAGAAAGAAAACCAGACCCTCCCACCAACTAACCTGAAACCTGACAGGGGGTCCCTTTAGAAGGACAACTGTTTTCCAGCACCCCCCTCTCAGGTTCCACGTTAATTGGTGGGAGGGAATTTTCAGTATAGCAAATGGAAGTGGAACCACAGTGTATGCAACCACCATGCAACCTGTATACGGGTGCAAAAGGGTGTGATACCAAGTGGTTGATTTCTTGCACTTTAGCATCACAGAGCTGCAACCACGGGCCAAACCCACACCACCCCCAAAGCAAAATGGAAAATACAAGCACTAGGCAACCACTACGTACAAAACTACTCGGATGTTGGATATTGCAAGAGTACTAAATCACTAAACAAGAAACAACAGGGGAAAGAAGATGAAATCCACAAAAAGCGCTCCCAAAACGTTTTCTAGATGGCCTTCTTCCAATGGTCCAAAGCACCTTTCGAGCTTGAAGATGATGCGGCCTTCCCCACATGTCTGATGTTTCTTGGACCAAACTCTGTCAAACATATGGGCCTCTAGCGAAGCTAAAGCAACCACATGCAACCACATGCAACCACAATTCGCCACACCTGAACCCCCGCAACTACCCTCAACTGTTGGATCCTAAAAAAAAAAGGATCTGGGTGATCCCTCTGACATAGGCGAATTCCTCTCTCTTTCTGTTTGTGGTGCCTGCCTCAAAGCTGCCTCAAGACGAAGATCGCCCTTTCCTCCGGCTGGTCCCCCGTCCTCGTTCTCCTCATCGGCTTGGGCATTCCTGGCCGCCAGGGCGGCCCGGTACCAACCAGCAGCACAGGCCTCACGTCCCAGGGCGGCGGTTTCCTGGGTGAACACCTTTTAGGGTAACTTCCCCATTCTTTCCAGGGATCCTTCTTTCTACAAAACCACCAAACACCCTGGGGAAATGGCTTGAGTTTGGAAAACGACGGCTGAAAAGAATGGTTGGAATCAACCCCTGGAACTGCCCACAAAAATGGGCTGTTGCCTCAAAAAGTCATGGGGCGAGGTCCATTTTCGAAGGGTAGTTGGAGGGCCCAGGCACCGCTCAACCTTGAAACATGGGAAAAGCTCATGGGCCTCATGGGCCCTAGCTCCCTTTAGTTATGAGTTACATCACCGGGCTCACCTATGGGGCCTGCTTCGCTTTTCGATGATAAGTGATTCAAACATTGAGACCTTGTCATCTGAAAAACTCCATTTTGTGTCCATCGAAAGGAAAGACACCAAACCGGGAAACCGATGCATCTGTGAGGCCAAACGGAAACCACCTTTTTGCCCCTGTGAAACATACCCAAACACGGAACCTGACTGCTTGATCACTTTAGAGGGGGATTGGCAACATGGAGACTGGCCCTAAAAACCATTAACATCCAAAAACATGAAAGGATAATAAGCCAACTGGGACAAGCCGCTTCTACCCGGTGCATAATTCCGTCCAAAGATGGACGATCTCAGGTTGAGTGCTTGATCATCACAGTTTTCCCTGCCCTGGGCTAGAACTTGAAAAACAAATCAGACAAAAGGCTGAGTCATAGAAACCACCTCAGCTGCCGCCCAATCCGAAACTCATGGTTTTGTGCACTTGCTCTGGTTCCGTTTAGCGAACCTCGCTCGAAAAACGTAAATTTGCTCCAACCCCGTCCAACACCTTCGCCTTGCATTTCCTTTTGGGAATGGGCTACACTTGGGTGAAGGTGGACAAATCCAACCTGTTTTGGTCACTCGTCATTCCATTACCCACAAAGGAGTTGTGCCATCTACTTTCACCCTAGCTGGTGAGCGCCAATTCGTCTCCGACCCTGGCTTCATGTGTTTCAGGAAGTCAATGGATTGGGTGCTGCTCAAATGAATTGAATGGGGAAAGTGATAGCTCTTGATAGCCTTGCATAGTTAAACAAATCCGCCGACCCCTTTGCAAAAGCCAAGTTACTCTCTGCAAAGGGGCGAGGGGTGTTCTAAGTGGTGGCTAGGGGGAGTCTGAGGGGGGGAGGGGGGGTCCCGCGGCGGATTTTTGACACGCTTAACCTCTAACCCTAACCTCTAACCTCTAACCCTAACCTCTAACCCTAACCTCTGACCCTCACCTCTCTAACTCTATCCTCTAACCCTAACCTCTTAAACCCTAACCTCTCACCCTAACCTCTAACCTTAACCTCTAACCCTAACCTCTAACCCTAACCTCTAACCCCGTAACCTCTAACCTTAACCTCTAACCTTATGACGGAAGACTATGGGAAGCTGACGGAAGACTACGGGAAGATGACGGAAGACTGCGGGAAGCTGACCGGGAAGATGACGGAAGACTACGGGAAGATGACGGAAGATTACACGAACATAACGGAAGACTACGGGAAGATGACGGTAAGCTGCCAGAAGACTACAGGAAGATGACGGAAGACTGCGGGAAGATGACGGAAGACTACGGGAAGATGACCGTAGACACTACGGGAAGCTGACGGGAAGCTGACGGGAAGATGACGGAAGACTACACGGGAAGATGAGGATGATGGAAGACTGCGGGAAGATGACGGAAGACTACGGGAAGATGACGGAAGACTACACGAAGATAACGGAAGACTACGGGAAGATTACGGGAGGCTGACGGAAGACTACGGGAAGATGACGGGAAAATGACGGAAGACCACGGGAAGATGACGGAAGACTACGGGAAGATGACGGAAGACTACGGGAAGATGACGGAAGACTACGGGAATTGACGGGTACGGGAGGATGACCCTAACCCCCAACCTCTAACCATAACCTCTAACCCTAACCTCGAACCCAACCTCTAACCCTAACCTTTCGAAACTTGGACCCTGCCCCGGACCTCTGACCTTGGCCTCTAACCGTGAGGATGGATGATGGTGATGAAAGACTACGGGAAGATGACGGAAGACATTGCGAAACTGACGGAAAGCCTACGGGAAGCTGACGGAAAGACCATGGGAAGCTGACAGAAGACGACGGGAAGCTGACGGGAAGATGACGGAAGAGTGCGGGAAGATGACGGAAGACTACGGGAAGATGACAGAAGACTAATGACGGAAGACGACGGGAAGATGACGGAAGACTACGGGAAGCTGACGGGAAGATGACGGAAGAGTGCGGGAAGATGACGGAAGACTACGGGAAGATGACGGAAGACTACACGAAGATGACGGCAGACTACGGGAAGATGACGGGAAGCTGACGGGAAGATGACGGAAGAGTGCGGGAAGCTGACGGAAGATTACGGGAAAATGACGGAAGACTACGGGAAGCTGACGGGAAGATGACGGAAGACTGCGGGAAGATGACGGAAGACTACGGGAAGTTGACGGAAGACAACACCAGAATAACGGAAGACTACGGGAAGATGACGGGAAGCTGACGGAAGGCTGCGGGAAGATGACGGAAGACTACGGGAAGATGACGGAAGACTACGGGAAGATGACGGAAGACTATGGGAAGCTGACGGAAGGCTAGGGGAAGACTACGGGAAGACTACGGGAAGCTGACGATGGATGATGATGATGATGCTGATGGATAATGAATGATGATGATGATGATGATGATGATGATGATGATGATGATGTGATGATGATGATGCTGGATGACGACGATGATGGTGATGCTGATATGAATGATGATGATGATGATGATGATGATGATGATAATGATGATGATGATGATGATGATGACGATACTGATGCTGATGATGCTGATGGATAATGAATGATGATATGATGATGATGATGATGATGATGATGATGATGATGATGATGGATGATGATGTGATGATAATGTGATGATAATGGATGGTGCCTTTTTTGTCAGCCCTTTCACGGAAACAAGGCAGCTTTTGCATCCCCAGCTTCGCCAGCATCATCCTGCAGGTGCCTGGGGTGATGCTTTGCATGCTGGGGATGCGGGGGCTGCCTTTTTGGTCTTGGAGACCCGGGAAAAAAGGCAGCTTTTGCATCCCCAGCTTCACCAGCATCATCATGCAGGTGCCTGGCATGATGCTTTGCATGCTGGGGATGCGGGAGCTGCCTTTTTGGTCTTGAGAGACCCAGCAAAAAAGGCAGCTTTTGCACCCCCAGCTTCACCAGCATTATCCTGCAGGTGCCTGAGGTGATGCTTTGCATGCTGGGGATGCGGGAGCTGCCTTTTTGGTCTTGGAGACCCGAGAAAGGCAGCTTTTGCATCCCCAGCTTCACCAGCATCATCCTGCAAGTGCCTGGGGTGATGTTACGTCTGCGCGGGATGCAGAACCTGCCTTCTTTGTCTTCGAAAGTTGCTCTCAACCTCGGACTTTTCACCCCTGAGATCTTGTTATCTTATATTGCAGACCATCCCATTGCTTCCTTTCTCTTTCTTGCTTATGGCTTTCGTTGCCTATCTTATCTGGTACACTTGTTTTTTATGTTGGGTGATCTTCATTCTGGTACACTTTTCTGTGATCCAATATTTCGAGGAGACCCAGCCCATCTTCTATTACACCTTCGAGTTGCTTCTGTCTTCTTTTTCCTCTCTTTTTTTCGATTTGTTCAAAAAAACAAGCAAGCTACCTCGCGAAATTAAGGGTCCACCTCGCACCTCGTAACCCGCCTTCCTCGTCATCAGCATGGTGACCGTCGTCATCATGAAAAAAGAAATCTAAAGTGACGTTACGCCCGCTTGCGATGCAAGGGATGCTACGATTGCCATAGCAATCCATTGGGGGGTCGGCGGCATCAGGCGTCAGCCTGCTAAATCCGGCCACCGGACGTGATCGGGCCGCAGGCCAAGCCCGCAGGGCTTACCTTCAGGTATAAGGCCGTGCGCCCCATGCCGCCAACCATGCGCGGACCATGCGCATACGTTTTGTGCTGGGCCCGCCCTTATAAGGGGCGAAGGATTCGCAGATTGGTTTAGGCAATTTTTGTAGCATCTCCCCGCAGCGCCAAAAAGCGAGTATTTTTTGGGGTGCCTAAAACTGGACAACACCCCCAGCATTGCAAGCATCATCCTGGATGATGCGGATGATGTTATGCATGCTGGCGATGCGACACAATGGGCTAAAGGGGAAATGCAAGGAACCAGGAGTGACTGGAAGTGCACAAAAGGAAAGTCAAAGGAATTGCACGAAAATGAAGAGGGCAATGGAGAGAAACCGAGATGCAGGAAAATGCAAGGGCAGAACGTGAAGAACCGGACAGCGGGAACGAAAAGGGACAGGAATGCGAACAAAGGAGTCTTCAAGGAAATGAAGGGAGCTGAAGCGGCAGTGAAGTGGAAGGAAGTGAAGGGACATGCCAGGAAACTGTCAGGGAAGACATGCAAAGAAAGTGAAGTTCAAATTATCCCGAGAAGTAACAGGACTTAGAGGGAAAGGAAATGAAAGAACGGGAAGGGGTGCCCGGTGGCCGGCTGTGTCGCGTCAGCGTGTAAATCCGGCCACCGGACGTGATCGGGCCGCAGGCCAAAGCCCGGTAGGGCTTACCTTCAGGTATAAGGCCGCGCGCCCCATGCCGCCGACCATGCGCAGAACATGCGCCGACCATGCTCGGACCATGCGCATACGTTTTGCGCTGGGCCCACCCTTATAAGGGGCGAAGGATTTGCGGATTGGCTTAGGCGATTTCCGAGGATTTTTGTAGCATCCCCCGCAGCATCCAAAAACGAGTCCAAAAACGTGTATTTTTAGGGGGTGCCTAATACTGGACTACACCCCCAGCATTGCCAGCATCATCCCGGATGATGCGGATGATGCTATGCATGCTGGCGATGCGAAATAAGGGGCTGAAGGGGAAATACAAGGAAACAGGAGTGACTGA